CAGCAAAAGAAATGGCAGGGCTTGCCCCTCGTGTTGCCTCAGCTTTATACTGGGCATGACGGCTACCCACTGGTGAATTCCAGGGTCACTTATCTTGTCTGCTCCTCCCTGCGGATGTGGCCTTTACTTTCTGTTCCCCTCCGTGCGGTACACAAGCTTCAGCAGCAACCTTGGGCTGCACACCAATCCTTGATGGTAACCCCAAACATGGAGCGTTATCACCGCTAGGAGCAGACAGTCTGCAAAAATATTCTGCTAACTTCAGAGAGTGCAGTTAATTCGAAGAGCTTTAGCTGAAAACTAAAATCACGGAACAGAATTAGTTCTGTTCTATCCCAAACTAGGACAATGTCTAAACAAACTCACTAAACCATCATCATAGCAAATGGAAAAATAAAAATTCTCAAAAATTTTGCTGAAATTCATGGAGCTGCAACAAGAATTGATAATAATTATTTCACAATATTCAGCTCTAACTAGCTCAGTGTTTACTGCTGTGAAAGCAAGCATGCAATCTGATTGAAGGAATGTTTCTTGTAGTAACCAAAGTCAACCAACTACAAACTTCCTGGCAGACCAGACAGAGGTTAAATTCTAACCTGATCCTGCTGACACAAATGAGGGATTATGTAGGTAGCAATTGCATTCCAGAGAAAAGAGTATTTTTGGCTTAGTTGAACACATAAAATTTATTCTTCGTACTGATTCTTGTAACCAAGGGAAGGTATGAGTCAGTTCTCTCAAAAAGAAGTCCCTAGAAGCAATGGTCCTCAATATGTCTTCCCACATTAGCAAGGACAAACAACTGATCAGGTTTACAAAACTGTTGGAACTGAAAAATTTGTTTTTGGTAAGCTGCAAGATTTCAGATAAAGTGTGGAACCAAAACTCAAGTTCAGCTCTAGGAACCTTCAGTAGATTTGCTAAACAAAACTACACAGCAGTGCTGCAACTAACTTGTTTTTGAAATAAAATGGGATTTTTGTACATAAACATTCTGTATAAAGTATCTTGCAAGTCATTAAGACACAGATGTAAGTGGGCAATTAGATGCCCACCTCCCACTTAAGCCATTAGAACGTAGGTATATCTAAGCAAGACTACATCTCCCCTTGATATAAGTTTATGTTTATCCTCTATTTGTTTCTCAGTCTAAGTTTAATGCATTTGTACTGAGTTGAATTGCAATGCATTTCAGGGAAACACAGCCATCCCTGAGACAAGTGCCTAGGGTTGTCACTGAGAGAAGAAATCTTAAGACTAGTAGAATGTGCAATGCCCTGTCCAAATAATCCCTGAAACTGTTTACAGTTGATAAATGAATGCAGAAAGTAATGGGTGTTGAGACTTTCTCCATGTAAAAGAAAAATATTTCTATCTACATAAAAATTCCACTTTTCCTCTAATTACTGAAAAAGAGTAGATTACACTGCCATGGAAGGCTGGGGGAGTGGAGAAAGCGGCTGGAGCATAATCTCCCAGACTCATTTCCTATTTGTCTTCTCTCGCCTGTAGCTGCAATCTGTGAGTTACACTGCCCAACGTGCAGTGTCACAGGGATGAGACGCTGACGCTCGGAGCACAGCAGTGACACTTCACAGACTTGAAATAAGAAGTCTTGCTTACAGTGAAGAAACTCAAATGGCCAAATCCTATTACAAGTAACACTGTTGTACTGCAGTTTCTGCTTCCAAGACAGAAACGGGAAGAGCTGGTCTCTAAGAAAGGGCTATGAAATGATGCTTTTAAATATTGCACAGCAGTAGCTTAGCAGTTCAATCTTCTCAAGGTCTAACAACTAGTACTGAAAACAACACTCAAAGCCATTCAAGGCTTTTTTTTTTTTTCTCCTTTATCAAGGAACAGCTCTTGTGAGAACACCAAAACTGGCATTTCAGCTGTAAGCTACTCCAAAACCACTCTGTATTCAGGACTGCATTCTGGTACTTCTATTGTTTAAAAGTGGAACTTCTTCTGGGCATTTGATCCTCAGTGCAGTACCAAGTAACATCTGTGAGGCTCTGGGAAAATGAACACAGCTGATCCTCAGATATGCTGATGCAGCACTCCGTGCTCACGGTTTATAGGGAACAACTCCATCAGTCCTTTCCACCTCCCTGATCCCAAGGTCAGGAGGAGCTAATTTAGACCTTGCTTTAAATAAAGCTACCTGAGGTCAGTTCTAAGTTACATTGGGAATAAAGGTCCCAAGGGCTAGCCAGCACAGTGTGAGCGTGCCAATATGCTGGAGACAGGCAGGAGAAGCTGACCCAGAGCTGCTTAGCAATGCTGGGCACCTAAGAAGGGCTGATTGCTGTTACTCCTCTCTTCCAGTGTATCACAAATGACGATCACAGAGCAAGGATGAACATTTAACAGCTCTCAAAACTGCTGCTATCTGCTTGGGTTTTTTCCTCCTCTCTAAGTCTCCCTTAAATCTGAAAATGGGCTGTGGATGCAATCATCAAATATATGTTACTGGAAGTGCTCAAAAAAGCAATGGCTGCTGGCATGGTACATGAATGGAAGGTGTGTTTTATAAATCTTACACGGAAAAATGGCTTTTCAGGTTGTTATGATCCAAAATGAGATAAATGATGTGCTTACATTCTTAATTCCAAATGGCTGGCAAAAGAATTCTGTACCAATGGAATTTTAAAGACTGTGCTGTATTGCAATCCACCAATAACAGATGATGTAAGTTAAAAATATGCAACCAATCAACATAGCTGAAAACCCAGAATCTGAAACCCCATGCATTTCATGTTTCCAGCTCTGATGTGGCATACACTGGATTCTGTATACAAGGGACACACTGCTGAACATATCAAATAGAATGTGTAATTTTATCTCAACTGATCAGGACTTGTTGTCTAGTTTATACTACAAATAAAACCTGATTGGGAAAGAATCCAAGATGACATGTATGAAAGTTATTTCTAAACTGCTTTTCACTGATTGCACCACCACATAATTCCTACTTGCCCAAAAATCAACAGCTGTCAGGGGAGACTTGTATAAAGACTGCACGATAGGGACTAAACCTGTGAACAGCTACTAGTACAATGAGAAATACTAATTGACTACAACAGTAAGTCCCACAGGGTGGGGCAGAGCTTCCTTTGGAGGCAGTGAAGCACTGAAAAGCCAGATGTTCCCATACAAAAGCAGTAGGTGCCTTGAACTCTAGAACTGTACATATTTAGTCAGATTAAGTACTCTGCCTACAATCCTGATCCTGTTTTGTTCCTTGAAGCATGACGTGCACAAAATACTCTCAGAAAAGTATTATTCAGTCTTGGGATTAGGATATTCTGTGTGGTGTGGAACATGAGGGTGGTCCATGCATCAGGCTGTGGTGGAGAAGGTGGTCCCTAGGTGAAACAGTTTCAGCCCAGATACTGACTGCCACGAGCTTTAAACCACATCCTACACGTATTTTATTGTACATATCCTCACAGACGGTGCAGAATTTCTAGAGATGTGATTTTTGATAGGTAAGTTTAGTAGGTCCAAACCCAGCATCTCAACTCTGATCAAGGAACCGCAGACTTGTACATTTTTGTGCAGTCTACTAAGGCCACAGCCACAGGAAAAGATGTATGAGATGAGTGACTCCAAGAGGTCAATGCAGTCGCAAGGGAGTTCAGGTCTTGGTGGTGCCTGAGAGTTCTGTCACAACTGCAGCCCACTCTTAGGTCTTCCACTGTAACCAGGCAAGCTTTTGCCAGAGAAAGAGCCATGAACAGTCCATCTTTCCACACTGCATTGCTTGCCAGCAGGGAAGGATTCCTTTGTTTGATTTCATCCTTTGGGAAGTCTGCAGTATCTGTACTACAGCTAAACATCACCTGTCCTTCAGCTCAGAGGTCTGAACTAGTGACATCAAACAGAAAAAAAAGAGAGATGAAATTAAAGTCATTGTAGCAGAGTTATGTCAGGTCATGCCACCAACCATGTGCTGGAGAGCACCATAAAATGCTTTTACACAACAGAGAAAGATCAGGGACCTTCTGATAGTCATGAAGGATGTCAACAATGTCCCAAGCACATCTCTCTCAGCACAGATTTTCATTGCCAAGTAATGCAAGCAATAGGACAGCCGTGTAAGCAAAACAGCAAAAGATGAGTCCTACATGAGATGGACCAAGAACTCCAAAGGAGAAGATAATGGTATTGCCAGTTATCCATCTGATCTTTTCAATTTCACAGGAGGATGAGAGAGAAAAAAAGGTGATTTCATTTTCTCTTACCTTTCAACTGAATCATCACTTGCACTCTGCTCAGGCACTAGTTTTGCATAACTCAGGGGCAGATTTAGACCCACAACTGGGCCTACAATACTGAGCCACAATATAACGTAATTTGTGTTTCTAGGGGGGAAAAAACACACAAAAAAAAAGCACAATAAACATATTATCCCAACATTTTTGAATTGCAGGCACACTTGACAGTCAAAGAACAACTTCATATGGAGCCATTCCTTCACTTTACCTATACCAAATGGATTTTAACTTTCAGCCCTCAGATGACAACACAGAATCTTCTTCTATTTGGACCAAAGAAGCTGTCTGGACCATTTCCACTTCCCAGCTGATTTAATTTATCTGCATTGCATAAAGCCTTTCGAGGCACTGCATTTTTTCTCACCTGTTAGGTTTCTGTGAACCAGTCAGTATAGAAGACATGAATTCATTAGTCCGGCAGGGGTGCAGAACAAAAAATGGCTGCCCAAGTAAGGGGTGCTCCTAAAAGAGAGTATCAGTTGTTTTATTATGCAAGGAGGAAACAGAAAAGACACCATATGCATTTAGAAAAGACAAAGCAGTGTCCAGTTAATACTTGATGCAGCTTTTCTCATTGCAGATCTAACCCACATTGCTCTTTTACTGATCACTGTTCATAAATTGATATTTGAGACCGTATTCCCCTATCTTAAAAGAGAAATAAGATCACCAAGCAGGCTATGCCACCATTTTAGTTAAAAAGTAATGGTTTGCCCAAGTAACTCAAGTTACTGCATCAGCATTACATGAATACAAGCAGGCAAAGCTACTGTGTAAACAGGTATCTGATCAAACCTAATCCATAAACCAAATCTGCTCCATGGAAAAGCTCTTTAACAACACTGAATTTATCCTTTCCTCTCCTCAGACTGGTGCTGAGAATATCATTTAATCTTGGGTCTGTAAAGGGGGAGGAAGAAGGGAGAGATGTCAAAGTGGTTTTAACTTCCACTAGGTGGCATATCCTCATTTCAGGCTCTGTGGAAAGATCTCCTGAAACACTTGTTCAAGAAGCCCAGTCAGAGCCATCCTGAGGGACCAGAGAAAATCATTTAGTGATGGTTAAGTTTGCAGACACAGTCCCTACAACACGGTGAGACTCTTGTTCCTCTCCACATTCACACAGCACACGGTGCTGCCAAGAAGTCAATCCAGTGCTCCATGAAGCTTTCACTTCCACCTCCAGCCAGCACTTGAACAGAATACGTGTTCTGACTTAATCAAGCTTGTGCTCACTGCAAGGCTGTAACAGTGATCTCATCAGCTCTCACATGGGTGATACCACCAGAGCAGCGCATCTCACTGCCCCAGGGAAGTGATTTTCCTTTAATGCTGCTGAGCTCACTGCCAGTACTTCTGCACCAAAATAAACAAAGCCTACCTCATCCCCTCGCACAACGAGGGGCACAGCAGCACAGCAGGGAACAGCCAGAAAGGGATTCCAGACAAGGAAGATGTCAGATACGAAACGCGACGTTTACAGCTGAGCACAGGCTGTGCTTAGAGGTTGCAAAGCCTGGGGCTCTTCTGGAGCTGAGAAGCACACAACGCAAGGCTGAGGGGCACAGGGAAGCAGGTGTGGAACATGACAGAGAAACCATCAAGATCTCCACCTCTGCACAGCGTTCCCCTCTCTGCCGCGTGAGCCTGTCCACTGCACCATGCTACCCACCAGAGCCACGGCAGAGACCGACCACAAGGATTACCACCATGGGTGCTTTATCCTGGGAAAAGACCCACACTTCCTTAGATGTGCTTTTTGCAGTGGCTCTGTCTCTCAGTGGCAAAGAAGAATACTAAGTTTATGCTCTGACACAGACTTTCCTTGTCCCAGCAGATACAGTCTGGCTCCCCTACTTAAGTGATGGCATTTTCTCTTAGTCTGTAGCAAAGTGCCTGCACTGAAGAGAAGATGCTTACAAAGTCTTCCTGCTACACAGTAAAAACTCTTTGTCCAACCCCTTGCCTAAAAATGAAAAACAAATTCTAGCCTGTCATTTTCACCAAACAGGACATGTTCTATATTATTAAATATTAAACAGGGTCTCTTACTGCTGAAGGACACTTGGTTGTTATGCTGAAAATGTCCTCATGAGCACAAATCACCTAATGTCTAAGAGAACTTAAAAAAAAACTTCCAGAGGCTTCAGAACATACAAAAAATAATGTTCAAAAAGCTTCTCTTTACATTGCAGTGCAAACTGATAACTTGTCCTAGAATGCTACCATCTGCTGTTGGTAAAAGTGAACTGATGTTGTTTTCCATTGAGAAAAAGTGGCAGTTTGAATTAAAAATCCTTTCTAATTATCTACTAGCTTAAATCAGCTTAGGTCTCCAAATAATTCTAGAAAATACATTGACTGTGCCAAAGGTACTCCTCAAAGATGGCAAAAAAGACAGGTAACAGTATTTACAAAATTATTACGCAAAGAAAAAAAAAAAGTAGATTAAGCATCAATTTCAGCAAACAACCTTACACAAAGAGCATAAAGAGGTAGCACACACTCCCAAAAAGAGCAGAGAAGATAATCTAGTCTTTAAGTGACTTAGCACTCTGAGCAAGGAACAAAGATAATTCCCAAAGGTGAATACTCAGCCTGAAGTAATTCCCAACCCTCTCTCACTTGGTAGTTGATTCTGTCCTGCACTTCTTGCTTCAGCAAACCACCAGTGAGAGACAAATGGAGGCCAGACCTGATTTTTTAAAAGAAGCTTATTAACTTTCTATTCAACAGCTTTCTTCTTTTAGTCCTTCCTCTTCTTACAGCATAACAGAGTGACACTGAAGAAATTCCTAAGCTCTAGCAATTGCATGTCCTGGAAAAGCAGAGTGCGTTGCTACTCAGTTTTTCAAAAGGGTAACATCCTTGCTCCCACCATCTTTGTCATCAGCCTGTGACACACGAGCATGTGACAGAGGTGAAATCTGTTCACGCTCCAAATTCCTTGCAATCTCTCCTCTATTCTTCTTGAATGGGTGGAAAAGCTCTTTCCTCCCCTCTGGACCCAGCAGATGTAAAGGGAGAGGGTTTTTGTACAGGATCCAGCCATCAGATTCTGTGTTGATATGAAAGCTCTGAGAACACTTGATCTTGGTTAGTCAAACCCTCTTCCTAGCTTGTCCTCTTGTTCTTCAAATTATCAAGGATTGCTTTGTACACTTCCTGAAGTAACAGCTGTGCCAGGGTGGTGCAAATCTCACTATAATCCACAGGATTTTGGATGGCAACAATGAAATGACCCAGGAGTTTAGATAAACTCATGCTGCTCCTTGTCTACGCTCTGAGAACGGCACATGCTCTAAAGCTGCATGTCTGCACATTCAGTAAGAGTTGCTTTGGTTTCCAGTTAGCAGGGCATTTTTGAAGACAGTCTCTTACTGGTTTACCTCTAATCCAGGAAGCTGAAGTTTATTACTACACAGATCCTTCAGCATTAAAGTCCACAGGCATGACGATGTCATGCAAAACAGCTGTGCCTGAAGTTGGAATTTTTCAATAACCTTGCAGCATGTATCTTTCTTACCCTAGACAAAAGGCACAGAACTGCAAGTTTCTGTGCTCTTTATTCAGAACCTGAAAGAGAGGAATATGTCAGTAACTGATAGGGAAAAAAAAAAAAAAAAAAAGCAAAAGAGATTAAAAGAAAAGAAATTCTGAGCCAAGACCCATTAAGCAGGAGCCTCTAAAAACAGAAAAGGCTGAGGCAGGGAAGAGGAGATGTTTAGCATCAGGGAAAATACTATGACAGCATCAGATCTGATTCAATCAAATCCTAAATTCCAAATCCTGTACATAATGGCAGCCCCAGGAGGCTTTAATGTCTACTCAAGGCTAAACCACTGACACAGCAGCTCTGAGGAGGAAGTACCAGAGAGCTGCCAATAAAAATGCAAGAGTTATCAAAGCCCTGAACGATTTCAGAATTGGTAATGGGCTACAGAGCCTGTTCACTGCCAGGTCACCAGTTCAGATTTGGCCTGGGCTGGCAGCAGCTAGAACTCGTTACTGCACAACAGCTGCACGTGCAGTTGTTGGATTTTGCACAGTCAAAGTGCCTGAATTAGTGCCCTTGCTGGTAGTCACTGCAGATGAGTAGGACCGAAGATGGTGGTTTATCTTGTTGCCACAGGGGACAGTCCCTGTAGGTCAGCTCTGAAGTCAGGAAAAGCAGGAAACTCCCACTTCTGTTCCTCGGGGCTTGCCCTGAGACAGTGCCATGCACATGCAGTACGATTACGATGAATCCAGGTCCTTCTCAAATAGTATCACGAGTGTGAGAATGAGGTACGATTACGATGAATCCAGGTCCTTCTCAAATAGTATCACGAGTGTGAGAATGAGTGAAAGTTTGTGCTGCATCGGCTTCAAGAGCATATTTACTACCTGCTGCAGTCATCTGGTGGAATGATGACATTCCATGTGCAGTGAAATGTATCCTGAGCAAAGTAGTAGGGCAGCAATACTGGCCTTCAGCTAGCCTGATCCATGACCCAGCTATATAAAAATATAAAGTAGTCCTACTAGGACTTCATGCAAGAAAACCTTCCACTTTAAATGGTATAAAGGAGTCTTCCCACTTTTAGTTTACAATTAATCTTTTTCCAATCAGTCATGTAGCAATGCATTTTAGAGAGCAATATGTGTGAGTTTCAAGTCAATTCTCACAATTATTCTCTGGCTTTGTACAGCAAGAACCCATTTGTGGGTTGCCCACAACTCTTCTGGACAGCAATACCCTGACACACAGTTTATTTGAAATCAACAGCATTATTTTCTTCTTGCATCTCTCTATCTATGAGGCTGATTCATAACACTGTCTGTTCATCAGCATACACTGGAGCCCATCATACATCTGCATACCCTTGAGTCTGACCCAGCTTCAAGGGAAATAAAATTTTTACAGGCAGCAAACAGCTCCATTGAATTTGAAAGCCCAAAACATTGCTTCATTTATTTTCTGTAGAAAGATATCTTTACTAGGTGACTTCAAGAAAGACTTCTAAGGAAGTTCTGTACCCACTTAGCTGTTACCTCAACTACTCCCATACAAAACCATGCAAGAGAGAGATGGATGAAAGATGTTAAATGTTTTACTGGGTAGTTTGAAAATGAATGTAGTTTTGTTTAGGAATGTTACAGAAGATGTTATATGACTGAGCACTGACAGCAGGACAGCCTGCTGTTTGTTAGCTGTGCAGCTACAACCATCCACGCACAGGTAAGTGGTGAGCTGCCTCGGCTGCGAGGTTAAACTGGTGAGCTTAAACCTCCTTCACCCAGGTTTATGTTAGACAGTGTGCCTGAGCCCTCAGCACCATCAACAAGAAACGAATGCTGCAGGCTACCAGAGGACTGGAAAACATTTCAGTTGAGCAGAAGCATCTTCTATCTTGTGTAAGAAGGCCTCTTCTCATGAAGCCCACCAGGAATGTGAATGCTTCATCGACCACCTTCCACCT